AGTTCCCCTATTTTTGTAGATGATCCAGTGAAAACTCTAGTTCCCCTATTTTTGTAGATGATCCAGTGAAAACTCTACTGGGCCAGAATGACTTTAAGCTGTCACATAGGATGGGGCGCCTGGGTGGCTCAGTCGGTTAAGCGTCCGACTTCGGCTCAGGTCACGATCTCACGGTCCGTGAGTTCGAGCCCCGCCTCGGGCTCTGGGCTGATGGCTCGGAGCCTGGAGCCTGTTTCCGATTCTGTGTCTCCCTCTCTCTCTGCCCCTCCCCCGTTCATGCTCTGTCTCTCTCTGTCTCAAAAATAAATAAAAACATTAAAAAAAATTTTTTTTTGAATAAAAAAAAAAAGCTGTCACATAGGTTTTTTTACCTCGCTACTTGAAGGAACTGTTGTAGTAATCATTTATTCCTTCATTCCTTACGTCACTCAGTCAATAAATCGCTTATTTATTTCTCAGTCGCACTTTATAATCTAACTTTGTATACGTTTCAGGCAATCATTTTGTATATATTTGACCACGTACGTTATATATATAAAGAACACAACTTAGAATAATCTCAAAGAACGTGAGATGTACTGTGCCGTTTGATGCCTGATGACAAAGAGATTTCTTTCCCCTGGAAGACTCCTGTACTGCTTTAAAAATGTTAAACTATATATCCCCAGATATTCAGAGAAACAGCTCTTGGGAAAAGATAAATTAAATTCAAGACTAGAAACACAGAATAGATCTACAATAGATCTACAAACGTAGAATAGAGCTGTGTATCAAGAAGTTGTCTTGATGAAACGGAAGATGTGCCCCTAAGGGCAAATGAAACTGAAGGTGAGGACAGACATAGGAAGGACAAAATATGGGCATGTAAGAACTCAGGAAATCTATGAGTTTCTACTGTATTGTTTTTAATCCACCACTATAGGTAAACTCAATGGAATCATCTAGAATTCTGTGGTGTGGAAATGGTAGAGAAGGATGGGGGATTGAAGAGAAATATTAAGTTTTTTGGAAGGACGTGATCTCTTTTCTGAAAAAAAAAAAAAAAAGTATGCATACATACGTGTATAAATAAAATGTATTTCTTGAGCACCTATTATGTTTCAGATACTGTGCCGACTGCTTTATATGCATTATCGTCTCATTTAACACTCGTAACATCTCTGTAAGTCAGTACTATTAGTCCCTTACTTTAGAAGAGGAAATGGAGAACAGAGGTAATTTGATCTATATCAGGTCAGAGAGCAGTAAATGACAGATTCTGGACTCAACCCTGGATAAGTCTAAAGCCCATGTGTATTAAACGCTAAAAACCCTATCCTGTTGATCTAATCACATTTAAATGGGTCACTGCTGCTCTTCCATAATTGAATGTGCCAGGATAGGAGCCAGAGAATAATCTGTTGCTTTTAAGAGTGATTTCTTTTGTTATTACCTTAACTCTAAAAGTAAACGGTTCATTTTAAAGCTAACCCTACTTTTTTTTTTTTTTTTTTAAAGATTGAAACCTTGAAGGATCTTCAGTGAAATGTTGAATAAATTACGGTATGTCCATATTCTAAACATTTTTGAAACATTAAAATAAATGAGTTCTATCCTTTTGCATTGCCGTGGAAGAATGCCCACTATACCCTGTTAAGTGAAACTAGCAACATGCAGAGGCATGTGACCCGTCTGCTGTGTGAATGCATACACAAGTAAAGAAAGGTATAGTTCATACTCAACAAGGGTTATCCAGTTGGGTGGGAAATCTGTTTTCAATTTCAACTTTACAGTATGACTTATTATAATAAGCAAAGGTTGGGGCGCCTAGGTGGCTCCGTCGGTTGCGTGTCCGACTTCGGCTCAGGTCATGATCTCACTGCTTGTGGGTTCGAGCCCCGCGTCGGGCTCTGTGCTGACGGCTCGGAGCCTGGAGCCAGCTTTGGATTCTATGTCTCCCTCTCTCTCTGCCCCTGTCCCACTCGCATTCTGTCTCTGTCCCTCTCAAAAATAAATAAACATTAAAAAAAATAAATAAATAAAGCATAGGTTAATTTCGTACTTAATAGTGAATACAGAGTAATTTTTAAAAATAGGATTTGTTTCTGGGGCGCCTGGGTGGCTCAGTCGGTGAAGCCTCCGACTTCGGCTCAGGTCATGATCTCATGGTCCATGAGTTCGAGCCCCGCGTCGGGCTCTGGGCTGACAGCTCAGAGCCTGGAGCCTGCTTCGGATTCTGTGTCTCCCTCTCTCTCTGACCCTCCCCCGTTCATGCTCTGTCTCTGTCTCAAAAATAAATAAACATTAAAAAAAATTTTTTTAAAAAAGGAATTTTTTCTAAATATAATCTTCCTATAAGTTTGAATAACTTCCTCAGAGGATCTTCTTTCTCATCTTAATCCTTTCCTCCTTCAACCAAAGTACCATATGTTTAATCTGCTTTACACACTGAACTTCCCATTAAGATTTCCACTGAAAGATTCCCTAGAGAAAATAAATTTGAAAACCACTGGTCCATATCACCTGATTCAGTGGCCACTATTGAATATGGGGCATTCTCTGTCTGTATGTACAGTCATGAGATTATTCATTACTAGTTACTAACATAAGGATATTGAGAAATTCCAGCCTACTCTTTATTATAGCAAAAGCCATACACATACAACTTGAAAATTAAAGACAAACTAGGCTTGATTTATTAACTTGAATGACCATTCAATCGATGGCACAAAGAGATGGTACACTAATCTGTAGCCCAGGGCTTTGGTCATGGAATCCCCAGTTTACTTAGAGTACATTCATTTGGTGTTCAGATACCTTGAAAGGAAAATTCTAGGCAACGATTTAAAACCCTGTTCTATGACTTTAGAGGGCTCTAAAGTATCTAAAAATTGACAGAATTAGAAACTATGTCTTAACCATGCCTGAACGAGCCTTCAGTGAGGAAGTACATCCTGAACAAGTGCATAAGCGTTTTCTTTCAGTCTATTTCAAAATGACCAGGAGAGAGCTTAGCTCACGGTCTTGTGATCAAACCCTAACACCAGTCCCACAAAGGTGGAAGAAGCATTATTGTTTGTACTTCAGCCGCAACATGACATTGACCAACGGCATGCATCCCACTGCTCCAAATCTGGGCCAAATATACATCCATCCTGCGGTTGGCACAATCCGTAGTAAATTAAATGACATTCAACCAACATTCACGGAGCACTCCCTAGGGCTCCATGTACCCTCTGGGTTTTTCAAAGCCCCTAAGGATAGATAGAGCACAACTCTGCTGTCTAGGGACATACAGTTCCACGAGGAAAATACAGGCAAGAATATCTCTGATATAAAGCACACTGTGATCACGACGATACGTAACACTAGTAAGAAGGCGAAGTTTAGCAGGTGCGGGGTAGGGACTGCTTGCACTTAGTTCTAGTCTGGGCAGTGAGCAGACTTCGGGAGACAGGCAGCATTTTCACTGAGGCTTGACGGTGGAACAGAATCAGCTGTATAGGAAGAGGACCTAGGGATGAGGCGGGGATGCGCAGGGGATGTGATAAAGGACAGGAAGAATGGAATCCGCTTACATTTCAAAAAGTAAAAAGAGACGGTGAAGGAAAGGAAGGGTGGGCCCAGATCATGATTAAAAGGTATGCTTTCAGTCACCCAAAGTTGCATTCACGAATAAGAAACAGAAGGGAGTGGCCTCTGATGGAATGCTCCTCTTCCATGGTTAGAAGTATACAGCAACCTTATTTTTACTGTATTTTTACCGAATTAATTAAAATAAGACAGGGCTTTTTCAGACCTGTGATTTGAAGAAAACATTTTATTACGTTAGGTTATGTGGTCAGTTTTTGCAGAGGAGGAACGGTGAGTGGATTTTTTAGTGAAATCAAGGAAAATGACGATGGGTTGAGCTGCCTGGTTAGGGAACTTGGGAGGCAGCATAAAAATATTATTGTCCTGGGACAGCAGTGGAGCCAAGGGAGTAAGAAAGGGGGAGGCCCAGAGGGGCACTGCTGGTGACCCGGGGCACCGACTGGAGAGACTGAGTATCTTCACATCTCCATCTCGCAGTGCTGAGTATTTATTTCTCCAAATGCAAGATTAACGTGTATTAATGAATGGATTTTCTCTGAGCAAATCTAAGCATCCAAATACACCTCTGATTTTGTCAGGGGAAACTCTCTAGCTCTTAGCCCGTTTTCAGAATGGATGCAACACACGGTTCTAAAGCTAAACGCGCCTCTTTCCCGGCTCAGCTCTGAGCTCCATTCATTCCTCTAGACTGAAGGACTGGAACCCACGGGTGGGTTCACAGAATCATCACCGATTGACCGAGCATGAGCTTTTAAACCTACCATTCTAACGCCGTTTTCAAAGGCTTGCCGGGTGAGTGGAGCCGGTCCGTCCACGGTCTTGCCATCATCATCCGGGCCCCAGCTGGCACTGTAGATATGCACGTGCTGGGGATTGAAGCTAACCGATTTCGCTTCAACCATGTCTGTGACATCTCCATCCAGCATCCGAACCCCTTCCAGACAGAAGGGAATTAGCTTGAATAGAGGCTTCACTATATAACACCCGAACAGCCCAAGACGTACTCCAATCACAGCATTTGGGGGGCAAAGAATACACTTAATCAACAGTTATGTGAGCATATCCTCTCCCCCTCTCCCCCCAAAAAGGATAACGTAGACTCTTCTGAAGCTTTCTTGGAGAGAAAGTAAATTATGTTGTGCACGATGGAGGAAAACTTCTTTCAAATCTTTTTTATCCGTTATTCTCTTTTTTAACGTTCCCACAATTTCTCCCTTCCCTTTGCCCCTGTCTTCAGAGAGTACTTGACAGAGAGAACCCCAGGCAATCCATCTTCCCGAAATTTCTCTTCATTAGGTAACTTGGGTTCATAATTGGTATAAAGCATTCTGACCTTAGCGAGCTCACCAAATTTGGAAAGCGGCCAAGTTAGGTGGGTCTAATTTCCTCCATATTTAATATCATCTCCTAATCTGTAAAACTGATGTGAACTTAATATATTATTTCTTTGCCAAGTTATTTAGGAGTCAAACAATAAATGAGAATGCTCTTGGAGCATGGAACGCATCAAATAATTCTCAAAGGGTTTTAATAATGTTTAGTCATTAATCTTCATTTAAGTATAGTCCTGCCCGACAGACAGGAATTTATTATTAACCTTAATAGGCAAAAATAAACAGAGATATGCAAAAATAAATTACAGGTCAAACGTCAGGCTTTCCTTCTTTCCTTTTATTTTTAAGACTTGAAACATCAGAACATCTAATTATTAAGTAAACCTCTCTCTCCTTCAGCTTCAGCTAAATACCATCACTGAGAGACTGTAGTATTTTACAATCCCATCTTTATGGTCCAAATTCACTCCTTTGAAACACCTTGTTATCCAGTAGGATTTCAAGCTTTTATGGCTACCAACACATTTTTATTATAAAACTGCAAAGCAGGCCAGCTTTAATGCTATGTGGTTTGAGGTGGACTTCTGGTAGAAAATAAACCTATTTTTGAAAAAATACTGTACCTTCTTTGTGCTTTAAAAAAATGATTTAACTGTTAACCCTAAAATTTACAAACATAAAAAAATAGAATGACAATGAGCATTGATATCAACAATACTCAAGAACTGTTAACATTGCGCCTGATTTGCATCGGAACCTTTTTACGCCACGTGACAGATAGGTCACTATACCCTTTTATATAGTGACCTGTCATGTGGCGTAAAAAGGTTCCGCTGAAAATCATACATATCATACACACACACACACCACACACACACACACACACACACACACACACATATATATATATATATAAAATTTTTTTTTTACAAAAGAACAATAGAAATAAACACTCAGGACACATTAAATATCCCCAAAGCCTCCCTAAAGACATTGCACTTGATTGTTCCATCTCTTGGCTGTCTTTTCTGCTAGACTTTTGGATTTTTAAAGACGTATATAACAGGTGATACGGAGAACAAAGGTTGTAAAACAAGTCACTTTAAAAATTATGAAATGGAAACTGTACCCGGAAGGCATGTCGACACTGTGTTTTGTGGGAGTAGAAAGCCTGGCTTTCTGCATATACTAGGTCCGAAGTAGCCACTGGTTTGCTTTAATTTGACATGAATATTCAAAATTCATCTGCACGGTGTTTACTAAAAAAAGATGGGCTGCTTCATATTCTTCAATTTTTACTTCTTGCCATTTCAAAGCATAAAATGGAACTACAGTTGACCATTGAACAACTCAGAGTTAGATGTGCTAGCCCTTCCCCACCGCCGTGCAGTCAAAAGCCCACGTACGACTCTGACTCCCCCAAAACTTAACTCCTCTTGGCTGGAAGCCTTACCTCTAACATAAACCATCGATGAACATATATTTTGTATGACATATGTATTATATATTGATTGTATTCTTACAATAAAATAAGTTAGAGCAAAGAAAAGGTTATGAAGGAAATCTTATGGAAGAGATAATGCATTTACTGTACTGGACTGTATTTATTGAAAAAACTCTGCGTATAAGTGGACCCGCACGGTTCGAACCTGTGTTGTTTAAGGATCAACTGTATTTTATTGGGACAAAGAGGTCTGAAATAAACTCTGGACTATATAACTTCCTGGAGCAGGAGTGGCAGGTCCATGAAAAAAAAAAAAAATGCCGGATGAAATCCTATCGGGAGGGTAAATATACTAGTTTTCTGACCGAAAGTTAACAAATGGGAATTTTGCTTCCTCACGTTTAAAGATGAAAGGCTGCTTTTTCTTTATCTGATGGCAAGCCTCCATGCTTTGGGTCTGGGGGTTAAATTTCTACCTCAGTATGTTCTTGTTCTGGGGATGACAGAGCATTTGTGAGTCATTGCCAGACATTCATTTCCTCGCGGAAGCCCCGTGCACTAGGTCGGCCGCTCATCTGCGAGTTCACACCTTCGTTCCCTGAAGGTCAGCGAGGGCTGGGGTAGCACTAGAAAGTAATGATGGGGACACGGATGTGTGTCAGTGTGCGTGAGGGACTGTGTGTGTCTGGGACGTCACGAAGGGTTGATGAGGCAGCCACCGTAGCCATTTGATTCTCTGAGACTATCGGGTGTCCAGCAACCTCATCACTCTTCAGGGGAAATTTCTGTCTCTCTTCTTCAGCTCCTTCGTGAACCTTCCCCTTGACACACAGCAGATGCTCTCAGAGTACAGCTAATTCCTGGTTAACAGGCTGCCATACGCTAAGAATTCAGTGTGAAATAAAGGAGAGAAAGGGCGAATGTACTGAGCACTGACATTCAAGCAGTGTCAGAAAACCTTTCCTTAGCACTGTTACCATAGACCCCAAACATTTCATGTTACAAGACCTCTACACTTACCCTAGAAAGGACTGTTATCTTTATTTTTTTAGATCCAATTCTATTTACCACTTGACAACAAAGAGTGTACCGGAAACAAAAATGTCGGTCTAGTAACCGGGAACTTCATTCATCTGTGACACCGGTTAGGAGACCCCCCCCCTCCGGGGGACACCTTCCGAGCCACTAGCATCTCTAGTCTCTCTCATAATGTGTTCTTCCCATTGGTGTGTGACTGAGGCACTAGGCTACAGCTAACAAATATGCTAACAGACGGGAAAGTAAGAGTTTGCTTCTATTAATGCCTAGATTTATACTACTTCGGTTGGGCCCTTGGAGTAGGCATCTGTCTATTTGAGTTTGTGCAGGCATGTATAATGTATACACATAATCTGGAATTATTAACAGCACAGTGTCACTACATTATGGGGCTACAAAAGGAGGTTTTACCACTTGCCAATTTCCCTTCAATTACAAGGAACTTTTTGTAAAGCGTAAGGACGAAGAAAAAAAATGGGTTTTCTGTTTTGACGTAACTTCGAAATGTTTCTTTCCCTAGAGATGTGATGGGCTCGTATTTATGTTATCAGTTCTCTCTGACCCAGGCAGCGATTATATAGTTTGGGATAGAGCTGTCAATGACCCCCCCATCTTCATGACTCAACATTTTTTTTCACGCCCGTTTTAAAGAAAGACATGTCTGTGTTTGCGATACTTTAGGGAGATGGCTTCAAAAGCCTTTAACCGTATTAATAACACATGCTAAGGTGGTCATTTTTGGCAACAGGTGAACACTACTGTGCACTCAGATCCCTGTCTTGAGCTCACAAAGGGTTCCGCATCCGCCTAGGTTTGTTTCCCATACCTCCGATCTTGGCATTGAAAGCAATTCCGACTGTGCAGTGAGAGTTGTTTGCTGCGGCTGCCACTTCTCCAGCACAGCGGGTCCCATGCCTGCAGGGAGAACACACACACTTGCTAAAGTACGACGCTCCATCCTTACAAACCCAAAAAACATCACTGCCACCATTCAGACTTCAAAGTGGTGAAGAACGCAGCAAGCTGTGGATGTTGCTGGAACTTCTATCTCAATAGCACAGAGCCTGTCCACTGCAAACTTTGAGCATTTCATTATATTCGGTTTGGGATTACAGTAAAACCTTTGGTTTTGAGCGTAATTTGTTCCGGAAACATGTTCGTCATCCAAAGCATTCGTATATCAAGGCAAATTTCAGGAACCATCGGCTGAGTTGTGATCGTGACATTCGGTGCCATGTACTACTCATATTGCAAGACATCGCTCATTTATCAAGTTAAAATGTTTCAGAGAGGTTCTTGTCTTGCAGAACACTCGCAGAACAAGTTACTCAGAATCCAAGGTTTTACTGTGTATTACTGAAATATATATACACGTGTATGTATATACGTATATATAAAATCTCCTTGAAAGCTAACATCAAATGGTATGTTTCTTCGTATTCTCTCAACTTTCATTGTCCAATATGGTAACCACCAGACATCCATGGCCATTCAGTACTTAAAATGTGACGTGTGACCTTATTTCAACTTTCTTTAAATTTAAGAACTAGTATTCAATTCAATTATTACAAAATTTAAGAATGTCGCTATAGGAGAATCTACTTCTTAAACTGTAAACTAAAATACAGATCAAGTATCTTCAATGAAAATCTATCATCTAAAATGCGATACGCCATAAACACACATTGGATTTCTAAGATTTGATATGAAAAAAGCAATGTGAAATAATCCCCTGATACTTGTTTTATATACATGACATGAAATATTTTATTTAATAATATATATCATCAATATTTATTTCACCTGTTTCCACCATTTTACTGCTCTTTAAAAATGTGGCTACTAGAAAAGCAAACATCTTTTTCTGAAAAACATTCCGTTCATTTCTCACCACAGTGACTTTGTTCCTTGATCAGAAAAAATCCTTTAACTGAAAGGACTTCTAAAATCATCCTATCCGAGGATGGCAGAGAAGTTCCAAGTGCAAAGTATAATCTGATTAGAGATGTTGACCTAATACTGTATTGAGAAGAATTCTGAGATATGGCCGAGCCAGAGAAAGGAGACTAGGGCCGATGAAGACTGTGTGTTCTAGATGCAGACGAGGGATGTAATAACCACAATAGCGTATTTGTCATTGCTACTCAAGCCCAAGGCTCACTCCTTTGCCCTCAGTTTTAGAGATGAGGGTGCTTAAGGAGGCCCTGAGATCGAGAGGCTTCGAGTGCCTCACTCAATTAAACGTCCAACTCTTGATCTCGGCTGAGGTCGTGAAGTTAGGGTTCATGAGTTCGAGCTCCACATTGGGCTCTGGGCTGATGGTGCGAAACCTGCTTTGGAATCTGTCTCGCCTTCTCTCTGCCCCTCCCCCACTTGTGCTCACTTGTTCTCTTGCTCTCAAAAAATAAATGAATAAACTTAAAAAAGAAAAAAAAAAAGGAGGCCCTGAGATGTAAAGAGATATGCTGAAAGCAGCCCAAACATTACTTTTTACTTTATAGAAGAGACCACACTCATCATGGGCTATGACTAGTGCAAACGTAAACAAGTTACTGCTTATGATGGATAGGTGCACACACAAGTTTAGACAACAGAGAAATACCCTGCTTCATCCACTTAGTAACGTCATACATATCTTCCTATGTGAATAGTCAACATGTCATTTAAAAGCTTACTGTTAATTCACATCATCTTTTAAATGGTGCACCCTCCCCCCCCCCCCATAATCTCTTTCACAACTCACTTATTCCTGGAAATTTACCCAGTATTTCACTAATATTAACAAGGCTATGAAGAAAAATCTTGAGCGTTTATATCATTTTATACCTTGAGATAAACTCCTAGAAGTGGAATTACTCCATCAAAGAGTACAGAATACACCGTCAATTTGTTCAGATGTTTAAAGTAATAAAACTAAACCTCAAAAAACCCCTGCAAGATGGATAAATGTTATTACAAAGCATCAAATTTCTGTGCATCACACACAAAAAGGAAATACCATAAGCCTCCTTGAATGACAATATGAAGAATGGAGAAAATATCGGAGCAAATCCCTGTGTCCATAAACCCCTATGAATGAGTTTTTCAATCTTTTTCATCCTTGCCAATTGGACATGAAAAACGTTACCTCATTGTTACTTCCCTTTCTATCCCCTCAGATTACATTTGATGTTGTACATCTTTTCAAATACTTATTAGCAATTTCTCTTTCTTGCTTTGTGAATAACATTTTAATGCCTTTTGCCCATATCTGTTGCATATACATTCCCAGATATGTTGTTTGGAACACAGCAATCTTATGGGAATTTTAGGTCATTCTACACAGTAATTAATTTTGCCATCCTGGCATTTGATTGTACCACTTTAATCATCAGAAAAATGATCCACTCTTAAAGGAAAATAATATTTCTTAATATTTTTTAATGTTTATTTTTGAGAGAGAGACAGAGTGTGAGGAGGGGAGGGGCAGAGAGAGAGAGAGAGAGAGAGACAGACAGAGACAGAGACAGAGACAGAATCTGAAGCAGGCTCCAGATTCTGAGCTGTCAGCACAGAGCCGGACGCAGGGTTTGAACCCAAGAACCTTGAGATCATGACGTGAGCTAAAGCGGAAGCTTAACAGACTGAGCCATCCAGGTGCCCCGTAAAATAGTATTTCTTTTGTAAATTGCAACCTAAACTGCCAACTTTACCTACCCCTGAACCCAGCAATTATTTACTGTGACTCTTCATTAGTCTCTGACTGCATGTCATTGCATGGTGTAAGTTATTTTTTTCTCAAATGTCAAATTCCCTTTGTGAGTCCATTTTTCTTATACCTCATTGTATCTATTACTAATTAAGGCAAGTGCTACAGGATCATTAAGGATCTGATTTTAATTCTCCAATTGTTATTTGTAAGTCCATTGCGACAGGCTTGTCCATTGTGTTATGGATTTGATGTTTTCTGCAGTTCTGTCAATTTTTATTTTATTTAGAGTGGAATTATTAAATCTTGCTAGTGAAACTACTTATGAATATGTAGTAAAACTCTAGGAATCCTACAGCAAAAAAAAATTAAAGATACAGGTTAATAATTAAATTATATACCTTTTTTGCTCCCTTGACTGTCAAACATTCGTATCAGTTATAGCTCTTATAAATACAATATAGTTATGTTTTCTTTGAATCTAGGCTATATTTGTCCTTTACTTGAGAATAAGTATATTTACAGTGACTATACCCATTGTTATATGATATATTTATGTTCATTTCTGTATGGATGTCATTCATACTATTCGCTAGTGTTTCTCATAGCTATTTGATCATAAATACCTAACATCACAAAGTCTAAAGTCATCGACACTTTTTTCAACTTTTCCCAAACAATACAGACTACACTGTTTAAACTGTGATTACTCACCTCTTAACAAATAAGTTCCCCATGATTCTAGTTGTACATTTTTTTTAACCTTTGAAACTATCCATTTGTGCCACTGCTTTGAATAACCAATGTTTGTTTAGATTTACCAATATTCTTTGCTCTATCTGTTTTTGTGGTTCATAACTCCCTTTTGGGATCACTGACTTCTTTCTGAAGAACATCCTATAAATGTGTCCATCAGAGAGTCTTTTGGTAGCCTCAGAAAATTATTTTACTCTTGTTCTTGAGAAAGAATTTCACTGGGTATATAAATGTAGACTAACAGCACTTCAAAGAGGCTATTCCACTGTCTTCTAGTTCCATTGCTTCTGGTGAGAAATCAGCCATCTTGGCAATTGAGTTCTCTCTGGATACTTTCCAGATCTTGTCTTTGTCTTTTCTACTCTGTAGGTTCATTAAGACGCTGTTAGGATTTTTTTCTTTCTTGCAATTCCTAAACCAGTGATTAAATGTTTAAATCTTCAGAAGTCTCGGGGCACCTGGGTGGCACAGTCGGTTGAGAGTCCGACTTCAGCTCAGGTCATGATCTCGCGGTTCGTGAGTTCGAGCCCCTCATCGGGCTCTGTGCTGACAGCTCAGAGCCTGGATCCTGCTTCAGATCCTGTGTCTCCTTTTCTCTCTCTCTCTGCTCCTCCCCTGCTTGCACTCTGTCTCTGTCGCTGTCTCTCTCTCGAAAATAAATAAACAGTAAAAAATTAAAAAAAAATCCTCAGAAGTCTCAGCTCGTACCTTTGAAAATTACCTTACTCTTTAATTGCACCTTCAGACTTTCCATATCTTTTTCCCTCTGGGCTGCTCTCTATGTAACTTGCTCAGTTCTATATAACACTTATCTTCGGCCATGACTAACTTGCTATTTAATCTATTCACTACATTACTCGCATCGATCATTAGGTTCTTCTTTTCAAGTTCCTTTTCGAACCCACCCGGTTAATTTGAGCAGTCTCTTCAAAAACAAAACCCTTTTCAATTGAATGTACTGACACATACATTTCTTGGCATGTGTGAATGATATGTGATAATTCTAAAATACGTGAATCTAACTCTGCTTTTTTTGCTGCTGGATTGTTTTCATGGTATTATTTTCCCCATGTGGTTGGCAAAAAATAAAACGTAAGAACTAACTTGGCTCTGTACTCCTCAAATGCAATAAAACCCTGCACATATTATGCTCATCATTAATGTACAGTGAATTCTCCTAAGTGAAGAACAGAGTGACTATTTCCTTCTAAAAACATTTCTTATACAGATTTCTGTACATTGCTCTAGATCGTGAGCAGTGACGAACCATTTGTGAACAGAGAAGTTATCGCTCTACTGCAGATGCATCTATTTCAAATACTGGTTAAATAATATTTGGAACATACTGTAATTGAGGGTCCAAGTTGCTAGCTCAACTGCATTCAAACAGCTCACTCTCTTCAGGTGACAGTGATCATTACCCCATGTAAAGTACCCGTCATCTTTTGTATTTTTATATCTTGGTTGGATT